TGACTTGTACATCGGCTGGCCATCGCAAGTCATTGTAAAGGCCCCATACGCACTCAATACGCCACTACGATCCTGAATGGAAGTCGATTGTGGGGGCGCATCCCTCAGACGGGATTGATGAACGTCCCAAGACTTTATCCTTTTATCCTTATGGCATCAGAGGGCGTCAGCAGGTACTTTCTCATACTCTCATCGTACGGGGAGGAAAAAAGTATGAGGGGCAGAAATATTGAAATCAGTAAAGTATTCATTACACTTCAAGAGGATTGGTGGATTTCGAACCACTTATTGATCTCAGTAGGTGAGGGGGTGAGTTGATGTGAGTGAGAAGAAATCCAAACCGCTGTTCTTCCTGTGTTAAGGTGCACTATGTGGTTGAAGACGACGCCGAAATTCTTTGAGGAAAATGTAGTATGAGTATAAAGTAACAACACTATCCATGATTATTTTCAGAAACGCGATGAGCAGATGTTACGGATGGACTTGGACAGTCGTCTGTCACTCACCCACGATCTCGAAAATGACCTAAAGAAGTTGGCTGGAGCCAATTCGCCAGCATGGGTAGAGCCAACAGAACAGAAACTGAAAAATGCCATATTGCGATTGCAACGGAACAGCACTGAACTCAGAGTAGGCTGGCATTCTGTCAAAAAGCTCCAAAAAAACCACCTAAAGCATTTTTTCAGGGTTTCCGTGACAACGTGAATGACGCGCTTGAAGGAGTCATAGCCCTGGATGCGATCGGTGCAGCTGTGGACCGCTCCTACGATGCTACTTTGGCGACTCTACGATCGACAAGTGCCCGTGACCATCAAGCGCTCAATGAAGTCGCTTCCGAACTTGCCGTTTTGGATTCTCAATTATCAGAAATGATGCGAACTGCTGATACCATCAAGAAAATACCGAATGTGACAAAAACTGAAGGAGTGGACCGTCTTGTACGATTAATTTCTCGATGCATTCGCACTTGTTTCGAGGGTAATTGTATTGCCATTTCAGGTACGGAATGCTGATGAAAAGCTGCACAACTTAGGCAAAGAATTAGACAGCAAGTACTCGACACGAGAAGAGGTCGGTCGCTTGGAAAGCGATTTTGAACAGGCGAAGCAGAGGTACGAAATATGTAGTGTTCACAACTGTCAGGTTGTTGTCTCTTTGTACAGCTGGATCCCAAGTGTTGGATGGCCCAAAGAATGTATTTCTTTATTCCCAATCGTTTCTTTATTTCCTGCATGAGCTGTGTAGGCTACCCCGTCCTTTTGTAGATTGACCAAGCGAAATTGTTGTTCCCTCCGACAAAAGTTACTTTTTTGGAACATTTCTGGGATCGCTTGAGGTTTCTTCATTCTCAAGTCGCGTTGTCACAGAAGCGTTGTCAAGTAATTTTGGTAGGCGCAAGTCATCTTTCCCAAGCAAACTCTCCCAGTCCGTAATGTCGTCTCCGCTGAACATATGTTACGAACAGCACATTCTCTTCAAACGACTTTTGGCTCTTTAACTCCTCGGTAACTCCTGTTTACTATAAACGAAGTGTGGAAGTGGGAACATTACGCGTGGTGCCAAGGGTGATCAGGTGGTCGAGAAAGCAAGCTCCACATTTAATGAATTGCTTGGAAGTTGCGATCATTCTACACAAGTTAAGGTAACTTGAGATCTTACCAGTGATATCTGGG